TCAAACCGTTTGGATGCTACATACGTTTTTCGTGAGAAGGCCGATTTTCGGGATGTCTCATGGTCTGACAAACACAGCTCTAGCTCTGCCACCTTTTACTGGCAGATGTGGTGAATTGAGATGTATCCAATGCAAAAAAAACGAATATCTCTAGTTTGATGGGGATTTTTGTATTATGTTAGTTAGATTGACGCACCTTGGGAGTCAATCCACGCTAGGGGGTTAACACTAATAGACTTTGCTCGCTGAATGAACACAAAAACATGTGCAAGTGGGTTTTTGACTGGACTATACAGGCTTATTCGATGTTAGCGAACTACTTTGTTATTGTGGACGTCATTAATTTAGCTCGCTTACTAATGTCGGGTAACAGTAGATCCGATTCCCCTGCCCATGTAAAAATCACTTTAATGTAGCCTACAGCTGAATGAGCTCAAAAACGTATGCAAGTGGATTTTTGAACAGACTATACAGGCTTGTTAACATGATTGATAGCATTTAATTGTTGTTCCATCTCAAATTGGTAGTTTTAGCTTTTAGTTTATTCACTTCTTGATCAGAGTTTTGATCAAAAAGCCATGAGTGAAGTAGGCGTGCGGACGCTCAACCATTTCCATGACATTGTATCAATATGGCTGTGGCCACATCTCTCTAAGCTTGTGCTAGGCGCTCGATAAACGTATAATATGTTCTAAAAGCATTTTCTTAACATCATGTTCAACAAGGTTACCTAACATTGACATGTAAAACAATGTTGTAGGTTGATTTGAGCGTTCAAGTAAATCACAGCACAAGGTAGACTACATGGCAAATTGGAAATCCACTGCAGTATTCTGTTCATCCTTCTAGGATTTCTGTACAGCATATTAAGCTATTTTACTGCCTCTCTCAAGACTCAGACTGGCTCAGTCCTTTGTGGCCATGAATAGTATTTTATGTCACTACATTCAATGTAACTTGATGCCGGAGCAGAGGTCAGTCAGTCAGCAACATTTGTTCCCAAGGTTTCTATCAATGCCACTAACTGTACAGCACAACAGAAGCATTGTCCATCTGTCTATTTAGCTAGGCTACCTCTCTCTCTCTCTTTTCTTGAGTGATAGGCTATGGGCAATTCCACGATAACAGAATTATGCTGAGACTCCGATATTTTTCACTTTAAAATGTATGCCAAACAAAAACGATTGATTTAAAGTTTAACAAACCGTACAACTCTATGCACAATGACTGACTACTTTGAACAGTTTACACAGTAAAAAACGTTGTGTCTGCACAGTTCTTCCTGTAAATGTGTTATTGTAAAATGTTCTGTGGAAATTGTTAAGTAGCCCTTTTGCATGGAGTTCTATGGTTTGTTAAACCTTTTAATGAAATATTTTTGGGTATACATTTTAAAGTGAAAAATGTGAGATTCCGTTACCATGGAATTGCCCCTATCTGACACTTGGTTGCCCACTTGTATTAATCGCAGGGCAAAAGGTCAGTATTAGTGACTTTCTCACAGATCACGTAGCCATTTCACACACATCGTGAAACTATATTTTGCATCAATTGTCAATGATTTTCAACACACTGGCCAATGTGCTAGAAATTCCTCTATGCTGCTGAGAGATACAGTGCCTTCAGAAAGTATTGACACCCCTCGACTTTTTCCTACATTTTGTTGTGTTACAGCCTGAATTTAAAATTGATTCAATTGAGGGTTTTTTTGTCACTGGCCTACACACATTACCCCATAATGTAAAAGTGGAATTATGTTTTTCGAAATGTTTACAAATTAAATAAAAATGAAAGGCTGAAATGTCTTGAATCAATAAGTATTCAACCCCTTTCTTATGGCAAGCCTAAATAAGTTCAGGAGTAAAAATGTGCTTAACAAGTCACATAATAAGTTGCATGGACTCAGTCACTCTGTGTGCAATAATAGTGTTTAACATGATTTTTGAATGACTACCTCATCTCTGTACCCCACACATACAATTATCTCTAAGGTCCCTCAGTTGAGCAGTGAATTTCGAACACAGATTCAACCACAAAGACCAGGGAGGTTTTCCAATACCTCGCAAAGAAGGGCACTTTTGAGCATGGTGAAGTTATGAATTACACTTTGGATGGTGTATCAATACACCCAGTCGCTACAAAGATACAGGCGTCCTTCCTAACTCAGTTGCCGGAGAGGAAGGAAACCGCTCAGGGATTTCACCATGAGACTTTAAACAGTTAGAGTTTAATGGCTGTGATAGAAAACTGAGGATGGATCAAGAACATTGTAGTTACTCCACAATACTAACCTAATTGACAGAGTGAAAAAAAGGAAGCCTGTACAGAATAAAAAATATTCCAAAACATGCATCCTGTTTGCAACAAGGCACTAAAGTAATACTTCAAAACATTTGGCAAAGCAATTAACTTTTTGTCCTGAAAGTGTTATGTTTGGGGCAAATCCAATACAACACATTACTGAGTACCACTCTACATGTTTTCAAGCATAGTGGTGGCTGCATCATGTTATGGGTATGCTTGTAATCGTTAAGGACTAGGGAGTTTTTCAAGAGAAAAATAAATGGAATGGAGCTAAGCACAGGCAAAATCCTAGAGAAAAGCCTGGTTCAGTCTGCTTTCCACCAGACATTGGGAGATGAATTCCCCTTTCAGCAGGACAATAACCTAAAACACAAGGCCAAATCTACACTGGAGTAGTCAGGTTATAGTTTTGACTTAAATCTACTTGGAAAATCTATGGCAAGACCTGAAAATGGTTGTCTAGCAATGATCAACAATCAATTTGACAGAGCTTGAAGAATTTTGAAAGGAATATTGGGCAAATGTTGTACAATCCAGTTGTGCAAAGCTCTTAGAGATTTACCCAGAAAGACTCCGCTGTAATCGCTGGCATAGGTGTTTCTACAAAGGTTTGACTCAGGAGTGTGAATACCTATGTAAATTAGATATTTCTGGATTTAATTTGTGGAATAAGTCAAGGGGTATGAATACTTTCTGAAGGCACTGTACCTAGGCTACTTCCTGTGGTGACCATTGTTTACGTTCATCAAAACCCCACATTCATTGCAGAATTGAGAGTGAGTAGAATCTATTTAAAATCCCAGTCTAGACTCCAGATGTTGATTTGACCTACTACAGTACAGTTACACCTCGATCACACCGATAGCGTCATTGCGCAAAATGGTACGCAGCATAATCTGGATATGTGTGCAACAAAAGTTCAATATTCATCTTCTACTACCATTTCTGTCAATCTGTCTACGTATACAGTTTTACGCATAAGTTTGATACATCCAACGTATGCACCACACAGAACGCACTGCAACTGCCTCTGCAATGCAATGCTGCGAGGCAAACGCAGCGTTCCATTGGAAATGAATGTACTTCTGGTGTACCAAAATGCAATGACGCTGTCTGTATGATCGAGGCCTTCGGCTCTTGCATCCTAGCCAACTGGTTCCGGAAAAAAAAACTAATATCGAAGGTGGCAGGTGGCAGGTAGCCTAGTGGTTAGAGCGTTGGGCCAGTAACCGAAAGGTCGCTAGTTTGAATCCCCGAGCTGATAAGGTGAAAAAATCTGTCAATGTGCCCTTGAACAAGGCACTCAACCCTAATTGCTCCATGGGAGACCCTGGCCTTGACCCCTCTCTCCGAGTGTGTCTCAGGGAAGGTTGGGATATGCAAAAAAACACATTTCCAATTCACACATGCGTAATAATACACATGTGGGAAATAGGACAAATATAAGCACCCACCAAAACTATTATTATTTATAAAAATAATTTATATTGTCATTATTCACTTGCAGCCTTTTATCAGATTATTGTACAGCGCCCACATAAACCTACTCCGTGAGTGGTTAGGCCTGTATCAACCCAAAACGCTGACATTTGATTGGGAGCAATATAACAGTCCAAGATCTAGATCCTCATTCATGTTCCAACACCCCCCCCCCCCAACCCATGGCTTCAGCTCAGGGCTCCGGGCTTGTTTCTTGGAAACTCAAATCTGTATTCTGAAGCGTTGTTGTTACCCTTCCTTCTGTGCTGGAGGAAATTGACCAAATTCACATAGAAATGTGAGTTATAGATCTGTAATTCTTATTGAAAGCAAGTCTAAGAAGCGGTAGATCTGTTCTATGTGATCAATTTCTATGCTTCCTGTTCTTAAGTTTCGTTTTTGCGTCTTTTACTTTCAGTTTTGTACACCAATTGAAAATATAATATTTTTGGTAATTGAAAATATATTTCACATCGATTTAGATGGTACAATGATCCTCTACACTCTGAGTCTAGGGACTCAGACAGGCCCTTTTGATTATTTATTCCCGGCTAAATCATTGATCTGCAGCTTTGTGCGGCCTGATGGGACTTGATGATACAGCCCAAGAGTTGATGTCTGTCTTGTGATGAGTTAGATCTAGGCTATATAAAGCTTGCTTCCCTGGAAGCCCAACACTTTTGGCAGAGGAAGTTCAAGAGCCAGGCAGACTGCAGAAGAGAGGTTCTATGGCTTTGGCACACAGTGCATAATAAATTATTATTGGACAAGAGTTGAAATTGCTGAGTTGAACATCATTCCAGTCAGTTATGTGTTTTGTAATTAGATACAGAAGAGAGGGCTCGAGAGAGGGCACCCAACCATTACGCATAAACACACTATGGCACTCGACTACAACTGTACAGAAAAAGCTTGAGAGAATGCTGTAAAGGTATTGATTGAAAAGGACAGAGCAGGGTACTGCAGGTCATTCTGTCAGAGCAGTGTGTCTAATAAAAAATGTCCTCCATGTCACTGATGGATGCTCTGTGTACTCTACTCTGGTCCTATTCTATTTCCTTTTTGGCAAAATATCTAATGTATCATATTTGCTCTGGTGGTTGTTTATCTACATGATGATGTGTTGCCACTCAACTTGTGTGACCCAACAGTGCTACTGATGAATATGATTGTTTGTTTTACCATGTACAGTTGTATAATAGAACTTGTTTCTCTTGATTTTTCAGATCTACATGTATACCATGGACACTGATATGATTCCAAAATTCTCCTCGAAAGACGAGGAGATTAACTTCTGGAAGGCTCTTTCCCTCAAGTACAAGAAAAAGTAAGATATGCACAAATCATGCCTTTTTATGTTACATTAATGCTATCTCTATGGTCATCATCAGGCTTAACTTTTACTTGAACTCACCAGGAACTCAGAGGGGTTACAGTATGATGTTGGAATCCTGTGGTTTCACTGTGCGTGGGATCCAAGTAACACTACCTGTACTTTTAAAATCATGAATACTTCTGAAAGGAAATTCCCCAGCCAGACTTGTTACATGGACCTCAAATAGCTTTCATCATTCTGTCATTTTAAAGAGCTGTAATGAATGATATATCAAGTTTCACCTGTGAAAGTCCTTTTATGTAAGACCTTGTTAGGAATTTCCTTCAATGCTCCTTTATACTTCCAAAGGCACATCTGGTTTCACATTAAAAACAAAAGCCCTAGTATGTCTCTCTATTCTAATATAGTCTACTGAATGGGATTACGTAAAAGCGGTGTTTAGATTTGTGTTATCTTTTCTCATCTGTGAGAGACTGGCAGTGGGCGACAGACGTGACTCTGCTCCCTGTAATGGAATTAGCTCTGGTGTATTTCACTCAATGAACATTCTCATCACACAGCATAGGCCTACTACTGTTTGAAACAAAAGACTGCTGATAAGATTGCAGTGGACCACAGACACACCCGGCACTAAGTTATATAAGGAGAAGTTCCATGTTAAAGGACCCATGAGCACCAACATATGAAGTTTATAGGAGCATGCCAAATTGGGTGTTAAATGAAAGCTAAACGTTTATTTTTTTTTATTCAACCATTTTCTATTCTACAAATTAGAAATAAGCAAAGGCTTTGATTTATGGTCAAACAGATGGAAAAGGGGGTCTTAGACAACATCTACCAGGAAAAAGACTTAAAAGGTATTAGAAAGCACAATAATGTTGAAGTAAAGACCCCTCCCAAATAATATCAACACTTATATTTAGTTTTGAAGAAATGATTTGCCTTCTGTAAGTTGAAGAAACATTGCCTTGTAATTCTGTTTCCAAAAACCCACATCTTTAAGATATTTAAGTTCACAGAAGTAACAAGTAAAGGTAGACTTACCAAATAGTTATAGTGTTTTTACTGATATCAAGTTTGTTTATGAATTATAAAGTGATTACAACTCGTAATTCTGTTACCAAATCTGCATTTATTGGCTACAATGGGAAATTGTAGTAACAAACCCCAGTTGGGTCACCTCTAATGCAACCCCTGGTAGATTACAGAACAGTACAGTACTCTACTTTTCTTTACTGTACTGTTCTGTAATCTACCAGGGGTTGCGTTAGAGTTCAGAAATCTGCATTTTCAAAACACAGACCTTCAAAAAATCTGCGTTATATATAAATCATTTCACCTGCGTTTTATTTTGAAAGTCAGTGTTTTTTTTGCTTCAATAGAATGAGTAGGGGCGTGCAACTATTGTTTTCAATGACAGAAAATACATTAGTGCAACACATTTGGCAGAAAATCTGGCTTTATTTTCATCAGATGACAAAAGAAAACTGCAACACTATTTGGCTGGCAGTCACACAAGTAAATTATCTTACAATGAAAAAGAAAGGTACTTTTTGCAAAAACAATGCATGGCCATCATATTTCTAATGTTTATCATAGAAAGAATGTAGCCAGCTACATTTCCTAATGTTTTGCATGAAGTAAATCTTGCATTTTAGAGAAAAGTAGGGTAGGCTACACCAAGAAAAGTACAGAGACAAGTAGCTACACATCAGTCAGAGCACTGTCTGCTGATAAAATGCGTGTTCGTGAATTCTCATCCGAGTGGAGAAGTGCAACTGAAGCACAAAATTAGTCAGATGCCGAGCTAGTATTATAATAAGAAGCATTTTCAAATCAGCGTTTACAAAACACAGCAAAATAATTCTTATGCGTTTTAGCTTTTTTTCCAACGTAGAAAATGCACAATTCTGCATTATCGCGACCCCTGTCTCTACGTACTGTGCTGTCCAAACTTGTGAAACATAAACGTCTATGATTGGTTCAGATTTGGTCTGGCCCAGGCAGACTGACCAAAGTTTAACTACTTTTCAACGTCCGGTGCCGGTCGATGCTCAGTGGATGAGGATGCTTGTTACAGTAAATGGAAAGAGGGTAGGTGGTAGGTGTCAGTAAGAGCCAGAAGAAGTGAAATTAACTGGAGAGAGGAGAGAGAAGCAGAGGGAGAGTGAGAGGGAGGGGTTGTCCAGACTGTTTTCACAGTCTTGCTTTGACCACCAGATGACAGAACGAGAAAGAAAACTAGATTAGAGTTCAGTACAGTATAATGTACTGTATTGTACTGAAGATATATCTACTGTACTGAACTCTACTCTGTTTTGTACTGTACTGTACTCTACTGTGCTGTACTGTGATGTCCTAACTTGTGAAACATAGACGTCTATGATTTGGTTCAGATTTGGCCTGGTCCAGACCAACCAAATGTGGTCTTGTTTAGAGGCAGAGCTCAGTAGAATAATAGCCAGTGTGTAGAATAATAACCAAATATGCAAAATAAGGATATTACATATTTCTACCTTTGTGTACCTATTCAGGATACATCACCATGAAGAGAATTATATTTGTGTCCATAATTATGCATTTCTGTATAGTACAGATCAGGGACCCATGATGCAGGCCTAATTCCGTTACTGTAATTCCGTTACCGGATGTAAATCCACTTCACTTACTGTAGTTCAATAACCAAAATATATTTTTTTCAAAGTCAAGGTGTCATGTCATAGCTGACACCCCATTCTATCTGCAGACATCTTTGAATCTTAATTCAGAGAAGATGTTAAAAATTGTCCATGTGCATAGAGTTGTATGATTAGTTCAACTTTGAAATCAAGGGTTTTTGTTTGGTAACATTTTGAAGTGAAAAATGAGTCTCCGCCCAATTCTGTTACTGTGGAATTGCGCTAAGGCTCTCTGGAGATTTACACCCGAGGGGATTCAAATCCACTTCCCTTTGTATTGCTCGATAAATGTGTTTCAGATGAATTTTGTAGTGAAGCAGTTGTACAATATTCTTTCTTACTATCAACAATAGATGCTCTTGCTTGAGGATTCCCCCAAACACTGTTGCAAAAACATTTTTTGTAGTAAAGTGAGGAGGATGGACGGGTTCCCTGACAGCTCAGGGATATCCTATAGGGACATCTGCCTCAAGCGGTTCAAAGGCCACGAGGGTGCTGCTGCGTTTGGAAAAAAACACAGATGGAGGAAGTGGGCTTTCCCCTTCAAAACACCACTGCCCCCAGGGTCACAGCACAGGACACCCCATAGCAGGACAGTGAGTGCTCTTTGATGGCTTTCCTGGCTCCAGGGACCCCTTTCACCTGTCCCGCCAGTCACATGCCTGTAGCGTGCCATGCCGATGGCCCCCGGTCATTGACATTTTTAGAGCAGCTGTATTTATATCCATGGCTGTAGCAGGCGCCAGACACTTACTTACATAACCACACTCAACCCCCCCACCCTGAAACGCTGTTAAGCAGTGTAACAGTACAAATCCTGTGTGGGCGTTGTTAACCCAATGAGTCCCACCGTAACAAGGGCTGATCCCGTTGGGGCCCAGGGCCGGGTCTTTTTACAAAAACGTCTGTAGAGTCTGAATGGTTTGAGTTACACAAAACATGCTCTGCCCTGGTCGCATACCCACAGTAAACAACCCAACCTCGTGGTTATTTATATAATATCTACTGGTGCTCTGGGTAACGGACAGATAGTTTGTTGCCATATGGAGAGGCCAAGGTGGACCAGTGACGAGATGTGTTAGTAAACAATGAGGTGAAGTCAAAGGGTTCTTTTGATTAGCTGGATCATGTGAGTTCAGTGTAACAAAATCAGAATCACGTTTATTGTCCTACAAGAGGAAAATCTTGGCCCAGCTCACACATGAATACATAACACAAATATGAAAACACAGAAGAAACAAACAACAGTCAGGCATAAATCCTGTGTGGTCTTTGTTAACCCAATGAGTCCCACCGTAACACCGTTTTGGACTTCTAACCCTTTTTAAACATTGTGTGTTTGAGCTACAGACTTCTGGGTTGTACCATTGGGCTTTGTTAAAGGGATAATCCACCCCAAACCACTTATCTCTACGATTAACAGTGTTAAATAACACTAATATATGAAAATATTTTTTTTGTAAACAAATATTTCATTTTGTCGTTATAACAAGGTTAGTAGAAACGTGAAAATCGTTTTTGGAAATCTGTTTGCAGCTCAAGTCTACTACAAAACCCACAATGCAATGCTCTCTCTCTCTCTGGGCTGGCTGGCTAGCTAGCTAGGTAGGTAGCTAGCTAGAAAACATAGCTACACACAATAATACCAAAGTCAATATCAGCATGTAAAGTAGCTACCTAGCTGAAAAATCGCCTTATCAAACTGCACTATCAATTTAGGAATCTTACTCACGAAGTTCAATTTGTAGTTCGTCTCTGCCACTGAGCTATAAACGGTGTCTCTGCCCACAGCGAGAGCAGAGTAATGTTGTCATGAGCTAGAGCGGGGTTTGTGAGGCAAGCGCGGATCCCGAAGGGGCCCGGGGCCGGGTCTTTTTACAAAAGCGTCCGTAGAGTCCGAATGGTTTGTGCTACACACTATTAAAAGCCATGTAGGAAAAGCTGAGACTCAATGCTCAATGATGCTCACAAGCTACACAAAAGTCGATAGAAGGTAAGGGGTTCTTCTACATAGAAGATCATAGGAAATCCCAGGACATACATTGAGTGTACAAAACATTAGGAACACCTTCCTAATATTGAGTTGCACCACCTTTTGCCCTCAGAACAGCGTTCTGGCCGATGTTGACTCTAATGCTTCCCACAGTTGTGTGAAGTTGGCTGGTAGTGGATCTCTACTCTGAATAGCTCGTTCCCATCTCATCCCACAGATGCTCAATCGGATTGAGATCTGGTGACTAGGCAGGCTGCTGCAGTAAGCGGAATTCACTGTCATGTTCGTGGAACCATTCCTGGACAATCCTAGCCTTGTGGCATGGGGCATTATCCTGTTAAAAAAAACTATTCGCAGATGGATACACTGCTGCAATGAAGGGATGCACCTGATTGGCATTGATGTTCCATATCCTGTGACATTCATACCTTACTCCACTTTTATCAAGGGGCCCAATGTGTGCCATGAAAACACACCCCCACACCATCACCACCAGCCTGCAATGTTGACACGCGGCATGATGGATGCATGTACTCATGTGGTTTTCTCCATGCCCTAGTCCTCCTTTGTCCCCTTCATCAATTACCTGTTTTCGACCAGCCGTTGGCTGGATGTCCTTTGGGTGGTGCACCGTTCTTGATACACACGGGAAACTGTTGAGCGTGAAAAACACAGCAGCATTGCAGTTCTTGACACACTCAAACCGTTGCGCCTGGCACCTACTACCATACTCCGTTCAAAGCTACTTAAATATTTTGTCTTGCCCATTCATCCTCTGAATAGCACACATACACAATCCATGTCTCATTTGTCTCAAGGCATAAAAATCATTTAACCTGTCTCCTCCCCTTCTACACTGATTTGGTGGATTTAACAGCTGACATCAATAAGGGATCCTAGCTTTCACCTGGATTCACCTGGTCAGTCAATCTATGTCATGGAAAAAGCAGGTGATCCTACTGTTTTGTTCACTCAGTGTAGTGTCTCTATAATAACATAATAAGCTCACATAGTTTCTGTCACAAGCTCCAAACTCCACACATTTGTCACTGACTAGTTAGATATTTATTTCCCGGTGAGCAAACCATTTCTGTACTTACATCATTCATATAAATTAATTTTTATCAGGTTTTTGCTTTATTTGTGAATAAAACTCATGAATGCAACTGTTTATGTGAATTTGTTTTGTGTTCTACTTGTAGCCCTGGTTGTCCTGAAATAAAATTGTAAAACACTTTATTGTGAGGCTAAATATATAAGTGCTGGACATGCAGATAAATGAAAGTCTGATAAATGAAAAGCCAAGTTTTGCTGGGGTTTCGGGACTAATAGGGTTAAGATGTGTAACAGTACAAATCCTGTGTGGATTTTGTTTTACCCTACGGTTTTGTACACCAGCTTCAAACAGTTGAAAATATTATATTTTGGGTTATGGAAAATATAAACTATATATACAAAAACACTATATATACAAAAGTATGTGGACACCCCTTCAAATGAGTGAATTCAGCTATTTCAGCCACACCCGTTGCTGACAGGTGTATAAAATCGAGCACACAGCCATCCAATCTCCATAGACAAATATTGGCAGTAAAATGGCCTTACTGAAGAGCTCATCGACTTTCAACGTGGCACCGTCTTAGGATGCCACCTTTCCAACAAGTCAGTTTGTAAAATGTCTGCCCTCCTAGAGCTGCCCTGGTCAACTGTAAGTGTTGTTATTGTGAAGTGGAAACGTCTAGGAGCATCAACGGCTCAGCCGCAAAGTGGTAGGCCACACAAGCTCACAGAACGGGACCGCCGAGTGGTGAAGCACGTAAAAATCGTCTGTCCTCGGTTGCAACACTCACTACCGAGTTCCAAACTTTGGGAGCTTCATGAAATGGGTTTCCATGGTCGAGCAGCCACACTCAAGCCTAAGATCACCATGTGCAATGCCAAGCGTCGACTGGAGTGGTGTAAAGCTTACCGCCATTGGACTCAGGAGCAGTGGAAACGTGTTCTCTGGAGTGATGAATCACGCTTCACCATCTGGCAGTTCGACTGAAGAATCTGGGTTTGGCGGATGCCAGGAGAATGTTACCTGCCCCAATGCATAGTGTCAACTGTAAAGTTTGGTGGAGGAGGAATAATGGTCTGGGGTTGTTTTTGATGGTTCGGGCTAGGCCCCTTAGTTCCAGTGGAGGGAAATCTTAACGCTATAGCATACAATGACATTCTAGACGATTCTGTGCTTCCAACTTTGTGGCAACAGTTTGGGGAAGGCCCTCTCCTTTTTCAGCATGACAATGCCCCCGTGCACAAAGCATACAAAAATTGTTTGTCGAGATCGGTGTGGAAGAACTTAACTGGCCTGCACAGAGCCCTGACCTCAACCCTATCGAACACCTTTGGGATGAATTGGAACGCCGACTGCGAGCCAGGCCTTATTGCCCAACATCAGTGCCCGACCTCACTAATGCTCTTGTGGCTGAATGGTAGCAAGTCCCCGCAGCAATGTTCCAACATCTAGTGGAAAGCCTTCCCAGAAGAGTAGAGGCTGTTATAGCAGCAAAGAGGGGACCAACTTCATATTAATGCCCATGATTTTGGAATAAGATGTTTGACAAGCAGGTGTCCACCTACATTTGGTAATGTATTGTATTTCACAGCGTTTTAGTTGGAATGACTGCTTGTTTTGTCACAAACTGAAATTAGGTGAACTATTTGAATTTTTGGAAATGGTTTTTGCATATTCCACCTTTTTAAGCAGTGTAACAGTACAAATCCTGTGTGGGCTTTGTTAAGCAGTGAAACATGATCTGCACTTTCAATTTCCAACGTTTAAATTGCCTTAAGACATTTGTGTATGTTTAAGTACCGATGCCATGAGGGATTTGTATGTTTTTAGATTAACAAAGAAGATCAAGGATAATATACCATTGATCACATTAGGCTGCAACACGATTGTGTGATTTTTATTTATAACTCTTAGATACACTATTGGGTCCATTTCATTTCAAAGTAAAAACCAATAGACTGTAAAATAACAATGGTATAATGGTTTACTAACCATGTCCTCTCCGGTGGTGTATGCCCTGTCAGTTACCAGGAGGCCCAGGAGGAGCTGCTGGAGTTCCAGGAGGGCAGCAGAGAGCTGGAGGCAGAGCTGGAAACCCAGCTGGGCCAGGCCGAGCACCGTATGAGAGACCTGCACTCTGAGAACAGCAGGCTCAAGAACGAGGTGGACTCACTCAAGGTACCAAGATGGACACAATGCGCTAGAAGGACTGAATAAATTTTTTTTGTGCTTGGAATGTGGCAGTTACAAATCTGAAACCCTGTGAATTTGAGTTACCTGTGAATTTGAATATTACAACCATGACTTGGCAAGAAAATATTTACGAGGCGCCTTTAGCGTTCATGCTGAAAAAGTATGATGCACTTCTTTTGACAACCTATGAAACACGCCATATCCCTGACATAATAAATTATTGATGACTATTTGAAGCTTATATCATCATGGCTTGTCCTTTAGTGCTGTCTCCAGAGAGGAGGTAAGTTGTTGTAGCATGTATCTGTGAGTATCCCAGCGTACAGGATATTAATGAAATATCAGGCATGGTCAACAGTAAAGTAGAGGGTTCTTAATCAAAAATTAATGTGTAATCTAAATGAGAAATCTCTTTCATATCAGTCAGGCAGACAAGGAACTCTTACTCATTTTTGCTCTGATCACTACTACGGGGAAACGGCCTATCAACAATATCATATTTAGAGTTCCTTGTAGCTAATGTGTTTTGAGTTCCCACTTCCTCAGGTGGTAAATTATGTAGCACATTGCCTAGGCCAATATGCACAAAAAACATGCGGGCAAATTAATCTAAAAAAGTATATCTGATTATTCTGGATCCTATAATGACATGTTGCACATCAAAATATCCATCATGCATTCCCTGAACTTGTTAGATGAAATAGCAATTTTTTTCATGAACATGTTCGATGAAATAACTAACTTCTTTCATGCCTTGGCACTTGAAAAAGTCAGTCTAGAGGCCTCCCACTTACAGTGGGGAAAAAAAGTATTTAGTCAGCCACCAATTGTGCAAGTCCTCCCACTTAAAAAGATGAGAGAGGCCTGTAATTTTCATCATAGGTACACGTCAACTATGACAGACAAAATGAGGAAAAAAAATCCAGAAAATCACATTGTAGGATTTTTAATGAATTTATTTGCAAATTATGGTGGAAAATAAGTATTTGGTCAATATCAAAAGTTTCTCAATACTTTCTTATATACCCTTTGTTGGCAATGACACAGGTCAAACGTTTTCTGTAAGTCTTCACAAGGTTTTCACACACTGTTGCTGGTATTTTGGCCCATTCCTCCATGCAGATCTCCTCTAGAGCAGTGATGTTTTGGGGCTGTCGCTGGGCAACACGGACTTTCAACTCCCTCCAAAGATTTTCTATGGGGTTGAGATCTGGAGACTCCAGGACCTTGAAATGCTTCTTACGAAGCCACTCCTTCGTTGCCCGGGCGGTGTGTTTGGGATCATTGTCATGCTGAAAGACCCAGCCACGTTTCATCTTCAATGCCCTTGCTGATAGAAGGAGGTTTTCACTCAAAATCTCACGATACATGGCCCCATTCATTTTTCCTTTACACGGATCAGTCGTCCTGGTCCCTTTTCAGAAAAACAGCCCCAAAGGATGATGTTTTCACTCCCATGCTTCACAGTAGGTATGGTGTTCTTTGGATGCAACTCAGCATTCTTTGTCCTCCAAACACGACAAGTTGAGTTTTTACCAAAAAGTTCTATTTTGGTTACATCTGACCATATGACTTTCTCCCAATCCTCTTCTGGATGCACTCTAGCAAACTTCAGACGGGCCTGGACATGTACTGGCTTAAGCAGGGGGACACGTCTAGCACTGCAGGATTTGAGTCCCTGGTGGCGTAGTGTGTTACTGATGGTAGGCTTTGTTACTTTGGTCCCAGCTCTCTGCAGGTCATTCACTAGGTCCCCCCGTGTGGTTCTGGGATTTTTGCTCACCGTTCTTGTGATCATTTTGACCCCACGGGGTGAGATCTTGCGTGGAGCCCCAGATCGAGGGAGATTATCAGTGGTCTTGTATGTCTTCCATTTCCTAATAATTGCTCCCACAGTTGATTTCTTCAAACCAAGCTGCTTACCTATTGCAGATTCAGTCTTCCCAGCCTGGTGCAGGTCTACCATTTTGTTTCTGGTGTCCTTTGACAGCTCTTTGGTCTTGGCCATAGTGGAGTTTGGAGTGTGACTGTTTGAGGTTGTGGACAGGTGTCTTTTATACCGATAACAAGTTCAAACAGGTGCCATTAATACAGGTAACGAGTGGAGGACAGAGGAGCCTCTTAAAGAAGAAGTTACTGGTCTGTGAGAGCCAGAAATCTTGCTTGTTTGTAGGTGACCAAATACTTATTTTCCACCATCATTTGCAAATAAATTCATTAAAAATCCTACAATGTGATTTTCTGGATTTTCTTTTCTCAATTTGTCTGTCATAGTTGACGTGTACCTATGATGAAAATGACAGGCCTCTCTCATCTTTTTAAGTGGGAGAACTTGCACAATTGGTGGCTGACTAAATACTTTTTTTCCCCACTGTAGCTACCTTGCTTCAAAGTATAGCCATTTGATACCTGATTCACTTAATTAAGGAATTATTTTATAATACTTTTTGGTTGTAGGCTAATGTTATAGCACATCAGGGGAGCTACTGGGTGTGTAGACTTTTGTTCCAGTCCAACTCGCCAGATTCTACAAATCAACTGCTCAACATGACCTTGTGAAGTGGACTTAGATGTGCCTGAGCAGTGCTGGATCAAAAGCCTGCACAACCAGCTCTCCACGTGTTTTATACAGTAAGAGTGGTGTATATTTGACTTAATGGCATTTTTTCACAGTGGTGTCATAATGGAGCCAAAATTCTGAACACTTAGACTTTGTGATCTAGCTAATGATTAGCGCCTTTGGGGTGGCCTAAACAAATGCAGATGGGCAAGGCCATGCTTTAGCCATCTATAGCCTACCCGCTAATACTATGCTATTACATCTGTTAGGATAAAAGCAGAATGCTCATTGCTAAAGTAGCACACCAGCCTGATAATATGAGCCATGTAGGCTATAGCCTTTGGTGAAAGAGCCAGCCCTAAAAATACTACTTTTTGCCAACATGGGCTCATTTCTGGAGGGGACTATTATCAGGTGTGTGGTTCCATGAAATTCAAATTCATGGAACCTGCAGATGCTCTGTGTTTACCTCTGCCGTTTGTGCATTTGCGTCATTCTGATTGGTCGAGTCAATATATACAAAAATTGGTATCCGAAAAAATGCATTTCAGATATCCGAAAAAATTTCATGATATTCTAATATTGAAATAATTTAAATTGCGTTATGTATGAGAGTTAGGGATTGGCATCAGCATGTTAATTCTCGCTCCATAATTAGCGCTGGGATGAGCGTGGCTCTGTGTCCATGTTCACATTACGACTCCAGCCATGCGAGTCAGTGAGTCACCCCACCGGTGACGGTGAGATACGAATGTGTTAAGAATGTCATCGGATTCAAAACTTTTTCAATTTAAATTACTATATAAAATTCTTGCTACCAATATAATGTTATTTATATGGGGGATACAATCTTCCCAGCTCTGCAGATTTTGCTGCAAAGAGACAGAATCATTAGATCATTTGTTTTGGTACTGTCCATTTGTAGCTTGTTTTTGGACACAGGTCCAGGAATGGCTAAAGGATTGCAATATTTACCTGGAGCTAACCCTGCAGATAGCATTACAGGGTGATCTGAAAAGTCATAGTCAATTGATCAATAATATAATACAACTTTTATCAAAAATGTTTATTTTCAATTTACAATCTGTAGAAACAATGAGAATAGAAAGGTTCAGAACTTTTGTAAAACATCACAGTACAGTTGAAAAATATATGGCAAATAGAAATCCAATATGGATGGTGTTGAATGGAGTTGAAGGATGGGATTAATAACAAGTAATAACAACAAGATAACTAATAATGTAAGCATACTGTGTCCATAATAAGTATATAGGTTATATGTTGAGAGCTTTTGTGAAAGAGCTCAGTTAGAAAGATATGGCATGTAGAAGCAAACCGGATGGACATCATGAAAATAATCGGATAATTCCTTAATTAAGTGAATATATATGTATATGTATGGATATATGTATATATGTATATATATATATATATATATATATATATATATATATATGTATATATATATATATATATATATATATGTGTGTGTGTGTGTGTGTATATATATATATATATATATATATATATATATATATATATATATATATTATATATATATATATGTGTGTGTGTGTGTGTGTGTGTGTATATATATATATATGTGTGTGTGTGTGTGTGTGTGTGTGTGTGTATATATATACAGTGGGGAGAACAAGTATTTGATACACTGCCGATTTTGCAGGTTTTCCTACTTACAAAGCATGTAGAGGTCTGTAATTTTTATCATAGGTACACTTCAACTGTGAGAGACGGAATCTCAAAAATCCAGAAAATCACATTGTATGATTTTTAAGTAATTAATTTGCATTTTATTGCATGACATAAGTATTTGATCACCTACCAACCAGTAAGAATTCCGGCCCTCATAGACCTGTTAGTTTTTCTTTAAGAAGCCCTCCTGTTCTCCACTCATTACCTGTATTAACTGCACCTGTTTGAACTCGTTACCTGTATAAAAGACACCTGTCCACACACTCAATCAAACAGACTCCAACCTCTCCATAATGGCCAAGACCAGAGAGCTGTGTAAGGACATCAGGGATAAAATGGTAGACCTGCACAAGGCTGGGATGGGCTACAGGACAATAGGCAAGCAGCTTGGTGAGAAGGCAACAACTGTTGGCGGAATTATTAGAAAATGGAAGAAGTTCAAGATTACGGTCAATCACCCTCGGTCTGGGGCTCCATGCAAGATCTCATCTCGTGGGGCATCAATGATCATAAGAAAGGTGTGGAATCAGCCCAGAACTACACGGCAGGACCTGGTAAATGACCTGAAGAGAGCTGGGACCACAGTCTCAAAGAAAACCATTAGTAACACACTACGCCGTCATGGATTAAAATCCTGCAGCGCACGCAAGGTCCCCCTGCTCAAGCCAGCGCATGTCCAGGCCCGTCTGAAGTTTGCCAATGACCATCTGGATGATCCAGAGGAGGAATGGGAGAAGGTCATGTGGTCTAAACTCCACTCGCCGTGTTTGGAGGAAGAAGAAGGATGAGTACAACCCCAAGAACACCATCCCAACCGTGAAGCATGGAGGTGGAAACATCATTCTTTGGGGATGCTTTTCTGCAAAGGGGACAGGACGACTGCACCGTATTGAGGGGAGGATGGATGGGGCCATGTATCGCGAGATCTTGGCCAACAACCTCCTTCCCTCAGTAAGAGCATTGAAGATGGGTTGTGGCTGGGTCTTCCAGCATGACAACAACCCGAAACACACAGCCAGGGTAACTAAGGAGTGGCTCCGTAAGAAGCATCTCAAGGTCCTGGAGTGGCCTAGCCAGTCTCCAGACCTGAACCCAATAGAAAATATTTGGAGGGAGCTGAAAGTCCATATTGCCCAGCGACAGCCCCGAAACCTGAAGGATCTGGAGAAGGTCTGTATGGAGGAGTGGCCCAAAATCCCTGCTGCAGTGTGTGCAAACCTGGTCAAGACCTACAGGAAATGTATGATCTCTGTAATTGCAAACAAAGGTTTCTGTACCAAATATTAAGTTCTGCTTTTCTGATGTATCAAATACTTATGTCATGCAATAAAATGCAAATTAATTACTTCAAAATCATACATGTGATTTTCTGGATTTTTGAGATTCCGTCTCTCACAGTTGAAGTGTACCTATGATAAAAATTACAGACCTCTACATGCTTTGTAAATAGGAAAACCTGCAAATTCGGCAGTGTATCAAATACTTGTTCTCCCCACTGTATATGTGTGTGTGTAATAAATATGCGAGAAGAAAAAAAACATATGGGGGATTGGAAGTGATGCAGACAATTTACATTGATGGAAGTTACAATCTATCTGCAATATTAAAGCTGATCTACCCCCCCAAAAAAATCTGTGACACGTTGTTTAACGCCTTGTTATAAGATACTATCTATGTGGCGTAGGCTAGAATGTGTTTTGATGTAGTCAGTGTAGTATGCACATGTAGTTCATGTAAAATGGCATTTCAGGACAAAGCAGGGCTTGTCTGGTCGAGGTTAGTGGTTAATTGATTCAGACGTGATTTATCCAGAAGATATAGGTCAGACAGGCAGGCAGACCCAGTCCCATCTATTGAGTTGAGCACCAGAGAGCTGGAGGAGACATGGGTCACATCATCATCCCATAGCCTGAGAACGCTGGAGCACAACGGAGTGCTCTGAAAAATAGATGACAGAATGTAGGTTAACGTGGCGGTTCCCTCCACTTGGGTGCGTGCGACTGTGTAGTGTTAGGAAAATATTTTAGTAAGTAAAACTCCCTTTCTTGGAAGCTTTAACGTCCTTTACCCATTTTAAAATGGTTGCATGTTATAAGTAACACCCTTTCTCTTCTCTCTCCTCATCTCTCCATCCCCCCTTCAGGAGAAACTGGAGCAGCAGTATGCCCAAAGCTACAAGCAGATCAACATGCTGGAGGACGACCTAGGACAGACCCGGGGCATCAAGGAGCAGCTCCACAAATACGTCCGGGAACTGGAGCAGTCCAACGACGACCTGGAAAGAGCGAAAAGGTCAACAAAGAGACCAGACCACTACACAGTATCTAACAGACACATACTGGATACAGCATTAGAAGACGAGCTGTATAAGTCATAATTTGATATTTACTGTGTACTTCAGGGTTATGTTCATTTTGGAGGAAAAGGGCAATATCTAACAGTAGTACTAATCTAACAGTAGAAGCAAAGGTAGTCATTCTCCGACCATCTTTCAGAACACAAACCCATACATTAACCCCATGCAGAGAGGTGCTGATCAATGATGGAGGCTGAGATGCTTGTTGTGTGTTTCCTAGTTAATTGCCCACTCTGCTCTTCATTGGGAGTAATCAAACAGATGGCAAATCTCCATTCCATTTAAAACACTTGCCCAATTGGGTCTGATTGCTGTAAATTAGATTGAATTGGATTCAGATCAGCACTGTCACACATCGCCTGAGATGTAGGTTACTTGGAGGAATCGGGACATTCGTTTGTCACTAAACATTCATTTTCTAGTAAAAAGCATGAGCTGACGCACATCTAAAAAAAATTTGTAGAGGTGCTGACTAACGGAGAGTAAACTGTATAAAAAGAAAGTCTCACGCTACAGTGCCTTCAGAAAGTATTCATACCCCTTGACTTATTCCACATTTTGTTGTGTAACAGCCTAAATTAAAAATTGATAAAAATATATGTTTTTCTCACCCATCTACACAATACCCCATAATGACAAAGTGAAAACATGTTTTTAGAAATGTTTGCAAATGTATTGAAAATTAAATACAAAAATACCTAATTTACATAAGTATTCACACTCCTGAGTCAATACTTTGTAGAAGCAGCTTTGGCAGCAATTACAGCTGTGAGTCTTTCTGTGTAAGTATCAGAGCTTTGCACACCTGGATTGTACAATATTTGCACATTATTCTTTTTTAAATTCTTCAAGCTCTGTCAAGTTGTCTGATCATTGCTAGACAGTCATTTTCAAGTCTTGCCATAGATTTTTAAGCCGATTTTAAGTCAAAACTGTAACTAGAAAGCCAGTATGAAGGTTAGCGCTCAGGCTAGAATGAAAGGCGGCCGGTGTGTGGGAGAGAAAATATCTGTGGAGTTCAAAAAGTACTCGCACTCAAAACCGTGAAGAAGAATAACCCAAGGAGGCCGAGATGCAAAAATAATATAATTAATTGAATCCATGCTCAAAAGAATACAAAAAGTGAAAGTGCAAGGTGCTAATAAAAAATAAAAAAAACTGAGCAAATGTTTCAGCCTTATTAAAACTGTAACTAGGCCACTCAGGAACATCCAATGTCATCTTGGTAAGCAACTCCAGTGTAGATTTGTCCTTGTGTTTTAGGTTATTGTCCTGCTGAAATGTGAATTTGTTTCCTAGTGTCTGTTGGAAAGCAGACTGAACCAGATTTTCCTCTATGATTTTGCCTGTGCTAGCTATATTCCGTTTATTTTTATCCTAAAGAAACTCCCCAGTCCTTGTCGATGACAAGCATACCCATAACATGATGCATCCACCACCATGCTTGAAAATATGAAGAGTGGTACTCAGTGATGGATTGTGTTTGCTTTGCCCCAAACATAACGCTTTGTATTCAGGACATAAAGTTAATTTCTTTGTCATATTTTTTGCAGTTTTACTTTAGTGCCTTATTGCAAACAGGATGCATGTTTTGGAATAATTTTATTCTGTACAGGCTTCCTTCTTTTCACTCACGTTTAGGTTATTATTTTGGAGTAACTACAATGTTGTTGATCCATCCTCAGTTTTCTCCTATCACAGCCATTAAACTCTGTAACTGTTTTAAAGTCACCATTGGCCTCATGGCGAAATCCCTGAGTGGTTTCCTTCCTCCCCGGCAACTAAATTAGGAAGGATGCCTGTATCTTTGTAGTGACTGGGTGTATTGATACACCATCTAAAGTGTAATTAATAACTTCACCATGCTCAAAAGGATATTCAATGTCTGCTTTTTTTTATTTTTACCCATCTACCAAGAGGTGCCCTTCTTTGCGAGGCATTGGAAAACCTCCCTCGTCTTTGTAGTTTAATCTGTGTTTGAAATTCACTGCTCAACTGAGGGACCTTACAGATAATTGTGTGTGTGGGGTACTCCTGAACTTATTTAGGCTTGCCATAAGAAAGGGGTTGAATACTTATTGACTCAAGACTTTTCAGCTTTTCATTTAGAATTAATTAGTAGCAAATTCTAAAAACATAATTGTACTTTGACATTATGGGGTAATGTGTGTAGGCCAGTGACTTAAAATCTCAATTTTATCCATTTTAAATTTGGGCTGTAACGCAACAAAATGTGGAAAAAGTCAAGGGGCTATTATTTACATCCTCATATTTCAATATGGTTAAATATTGTAGGATACATGATATTAACATCGTAAATCATTATTATTTCATTTAATCTTTGTTTAATTGTTTCCATTTCATTTCATCTTTGTTTCATGTAATCTTTTGGTTCAACCATAATGCATAATAACCATCATCAGCATGGAGAACATAATATGTGCAAGCTGATAACTTGTGGAAAGAATGTGTCAATTTAGCAGACATGTTCATAAAAACATTCATTTATCACTAATCTCGGTTAACCCAGAACTTGGTCAGAGGAATTTGGTCAGATGCTCGATTATGTTTACGTAGTCTGTCCGCGAGAGATGAATATAGCACACAACAACATTCATGCATCACGGTGAAACACAGGTATCAGCGAATGTTTCAGCATGCTCCTTTGTGTGCAGGAGCCAAGAGTCCACTGAACACCATGTTTTCGTTCGAATTAATTTATTCTCCCTTATTTCTTTCTGCAGGGCTACGATTGTTTCCCTGGAGGACTTTGAGCAACGTCTGAACCAGGCCATCGAGAGGAATGCCTTCCTGGAGAGTGAGCTTGATGAGAAAGAGTCCCTCCTGGTCTCAGTGCAGAGATTAAAGGACGAGGCCAGAGGTGCTTATTGATCCGTTTTCACTCAAACCCCTGCCTGCCTTTATTAGAAAATGAGCTGTTCTCTGTGAAATGAATAGAACCCATGTTCTCACAGCATTGCTTACAGCCGCAAATTGTTGTTGGGAGAGACTATAACAGCATTATCCGCAATTTGAATGTCTGGTCTGTTTAGAGTTAAATATTATGTCTGTCTGCTTGTCTGTCAGACCTGCGACAGGAGCTCGCCGTCCGAGAGCGAAATACGGACGTGATCAGGATGTCGGCACCCGCCTCGCCCACCCAGGAGAACAACGACAAGATGGATTCCTCTGTCCAAGCCTCACTGTCTCTCCCCGCCACGCCGCTCGCCAATAGTATGGACAACGCCTTCGCCAACCCAACAGGTATGCTTTTGCTCTGTCCCCAACACCTCAATATGTCACCTAACCATTTTTATGTGCAGTATACTGTATGTCAATGACTGTATGAATTAATTTTCTTGTACTTATTTCCCCCCCCAGAGTTGTCCAACGGCCTTGGTAACTCACTGACTCCCTCTGCCAGAATATCAGCACTCAACATCGTAGGTGACCTGCTTCGGAAAGTAGGGGTGAGACATACATTTTTTCAATTTGCCCACATCACTATTCACTGTATGCCCTGGTACACTGAGACTGTGGGTGTTTCTCAATATGCATAATACCGTGCTCCACACTCTCATGCTCCAAGTACATTATCCGAGGACGGTCTCTTGAGTATGTTCTTGTGAGGACGAGAGTGTGGATAACGCATAAAACATTACATTTACATTTAGCAGACGCTCTTATCCAGAGCGACTTACAAATTGGTACATTCACCTTATAGCCAGTGGGATAACCACTTTACAAAATGTTTTGTTTTGTTTTTTCTTTCTTTGGGGTGGGGTAAGGGGGGGTAGAAGGATTACTTTATTCTATCCCAGTTATCCTTAAAGAGGTGGGGTTTCAAGTGTCTCCGGAAGGTGGTGAGTGACTCCGCTGTCCTGGCGTCGTGAGGGAGCTTGTTCCACCATTGGGGTGCCAGAGCAGCGAACAGTTTTGACTGGGCTGAGCGGGAACTGTGCTTCCGCAGAGGTAGGGGGGCCAGCAGGCCAGAGGTGGATGAACGCAATGCCCTCGTTTGGGTGTAGGGACTGATCAGAGCCTGGAGGTACGGAGGTGCCGTTCCCCTCACAGCTCCGTAGGCAAGCACCATGGTCTTGTAGCAGATGCGAGCTTCAACTGGAAGCCAGTGGAGTGTGTGGAGTGTGCGGAGGAGCGGGGTGACGTGAGAGAACTTGGGAAGGTTGAACACCAGACGGGCTGTGGCATTCTGGATGAGTTGTAGGGGTTTAATGGCACAGGCAGGGAGCCCAGCCAACAGCGAGTTGCAGTAATCCAGACGGGAGATGACAAGTGCCTGGATTAGGACCTGTGCCGCTTCCTGTGTAAGGCAGGGTCGTACTCTCCGAATGTTGTAGAGCATGAACCTACAGGATCGGGTCACCGCCTTGATGTTAGCGGAGAACGACAGGGTGTCGTCCAGGGTCACGCCAAGGCTCTTCGCACTCTGGGAGGAGGACACAACGGAGTTGTCAACCGTGATGGCGAGATCATGGAACGGGCAGTCCTTCCCCGGGAGGAAGAGCAGCTCCGTCTTGCCGAGGTTCAGCTTGAGAAGCACTCGCACATGATGTATCTCCCCATTCACTGAACCTTCTTCCAGCCAGGACAATGGCAACAATAGAGACAAAACAAGAAATACACAAAGCAAACGTTTTACTTCATAATTATCAGATAGATATATGTGAAACATTGTAGCCAGCTAGCTAGTTAAACAGGCAAAAATGACCTAAAACTAGTGTTATGCAAGGTACAGTAATGTCAATTCTTCGTGGGTAGCTAGCTAGCAATTCTTCGTGCCTAGCCAGTTAGCCCTATTGACTTACTATGGACTTACCCATTCACTGAACCTTCCTTCTTCTAGCCAAGACAATGGCAATAGAGACTAAACAATATATACACAAAGCAAACGTTTTACTTCATAACTATCAGCTAGTTATATGTGAATTGTAATAATGTAGCTAATCAGATAGTATAACAGGCAAAAATGACCTAAAACAAATATTATCCAAGGTATATGTAAATTCTTCATGGGTAGCTAGCTAACAATTCTTTGTGGCTATCTGGCTAGCTAACAGTAGTAGCTAGCCAGTTAGCTCTATTGACTTACTATGGGCTTGTGACCTACGCACACTATAGTAGGTATTGTAGGCAGGTAACCATGCCAAAATTAACATAGCATGTATTTATAAACGTATCAAGATAAAATATTGTAGCCAGGCAAAGTCGGAGTGTATTTTCTCTCGCTTCAGCTCAAATAATGGCCGCCATTGATTTAGAGAAAATGTGCGTCATTTCTTACGTGGTTGCGTCATATTTATTTTCATACTTTCCGTTTAAGCTTGCATCAATGCATGCTTCAAAATATGTACAAACGGAGTACGCATTCGAGAAGTGCCCTCCGTGCTCTGTTTTGCATACTTTGATTTGGACTCATACTCCGACCATCCCGTGCTCCAATTTGCGTGCTCGGAGCATGGTAGTATGCATTTTGAGAAACAACCCTTGTCTTATACCATATTGGCATCTCTTGCTAATAGTGGAAGGCCTCTTATCTTTCTTCATTCTCTATGTCCGTCTCAGGCTCTGGAGTCTAAACTGGCAGCCTGCAGGAACTTTGCCAAGGACCAGAAAGCCAGAAAGTCTTACGCCATCACGGAAAACGGGAACGTGATCAACGGCAACACAGCCAAGTTCTCCCATACACTCCACATGACGTCATCGTATTACGACAAAACGTAAGTCGAAGCCCGCTTCCACTTCACCATCAGTGACACACACATTACTCATTAGTGATGAACAGGAAATTAAAGCTACTGTTTTCTGAGAAAGACACTTTGCAAAGGACAACAACGTTTCATAATGTCAAATTGTCTTTATTTGGATATAGGCCTAATGCATTTGTCATTTTTATGATTATTGTTTGCTGTGTAAAGCAGTCAATCACTCCTAAGACCGTCTGGTTTTACAGTTAGATTTCTTAACGTTGATCAATTTGACTGTAGAAATGTGTATTTGAAATTATGGATGTTGATGAGGTCTCTCAGACCCTTGTGTTTTTCCCCAGCAGGAGAGAGAGGGTCATATTCCCTGCATTACTTCTGGGTAATGATCTTCCTCCTCCGATGATGATGTGTGGGGCAGTTAGTCAGTCACCTGCATGCTGTTTGATTAACAAGCCTCCCTCCCTTTCCCATCTAGTGCTGGGGTAGACTTACTCACTGTGGGGCTAGATAACTGCTTTGGGTAGTGGTACATTCCCCTGCTTCTTTCTTAACACTGCTGATACATCCCCATGTCTGTCTGTTTGCTGGTGTGAGTTGGTAGCTTTCAATTTCAATTCAATTTGGATCAATCGTCATATTGTGGGGGGGGGGTTGATTCTCAGTGGTGTGTTTAATGACCCATGGGAAAGCATGTAGTGCAATGGAAGGGTTGGTTATGGTACAGTTCTTTTGATTTTGTGCTCAGTTATTGTCAATTAACTACAAACTACTGCATGTGAACAAGGCACTACAGTTTTGCAGCTGATTCTAAAGTGCAATGTCAAAAGTAACCTTTCACTGTTCTTATGTAGCCGGTGCTGTCCTTCTGTTGTTCCTTGTTGAAGTTGTATTTCAAGGTATAAATACTACTAGATGTCCCATATAGAAGTGGTGTGACTGTGTGGCGAGGTTGTAGTGTCATGGCATTGTGTTTCTGCTGTGTGAACAACTATTGATATGAGGCTGGCTGAGCATGCTGAGCAGGACATGGTTACAAGGGCACAGTTTGGGTTTCACCGCAGGGAGGAGTGGATTATAAATATAGCTCTTTACAAGAGGGCACACACTGCCTCCACTGTGCCTTACTATCCACAGTCCTAGCTTGCTAAATAGGACACGAGTTTGAAGTGGAGTATATACTAAATTATAAACTGGGTGGTTCAAGCCCTAAATGCTGATTGGCTGAAAGTCGTGGTATATCACGGGTATGACAAAACATTTATTTTTACTGCTCTAATTACATTGGTAACCAGTTTATAATAGCAATAAGGCACCTCGGGGGTTTGTGGTATATGGCCAATATACCATGGCTAAGGGCTGTATCCAGGCACTCCGCGTTGCGTTGTGCGTAAGAACAGCCCTTAGCCGTGGCGTATTGGCCATATACCACACCCCCTCTGGCCTTATTGCTTAAATACAACAGTACAGCTTAGAATTTACTTTGTTTGCTATGGTCCTAACTATACTGAACAAAAATATAAACGCAACATGCAACAATTTCAACAATTTTACTGAGTTAAAGTTCATATAAGGAAATCTGTCAATTGAAATAAATAAATTAGGCCCTAATCTATGGATTTCACATGACTGGGCAGGGGCGCAGCCATGGGTGGGCCTGGGAGGGCATAGGCCAGGCCAACCCACTGGGGAGCCAGGCCAAGCTAATCAGAATGAGTTTTTCCCCACAAAAGGGATTTATTACAGACAGAAATACTCCTCAGTTTCATCAGCTGTCCGGATGGCTGGTCTCAGACAATCCCGCAGGTGAAGAAGCCAGATGTGGAAGTCCTGGGCTGGCGTGGTTACACGTGGTCTACGGTTGTGAGGCCGGTTGGTAGAAATTAACATAAAATTATCTGGCAACAGCTCTGGTGGACATTCCTGCAGTCAGCATGCCAATTGCACACTCCCTCAAAACTTGAGACATCTGTGGCATTGTGTTGTATGACAAACTGCACATTTTATAGTGGCCTTTTATTGTCCCCAGCACAAGGTGCACCTGTGTAATGATCATGCTGTTTAATCAGCTTCTTGATATGCCACACCTGTCAGGTGGATGGATTATCTTGGTAATGGAGAAATGCTCACTAACAGGGATATAAACAAATTTGTACACAACATTTTAGACAAATAATATTTTTGTGCTTATGGAACATTTCTGGGATCTTTTATTTCGTCTTATGAAAAATGGGACCAACACTTTACATGTTGCGTTTATATTTTTGTTCAGTGTAATTTGAACAAACTCCACTAGGTATTTTACATTTGTGCAGGGAGGGGCAAACTAGATCAAAGGACTTTTAGAAACTTTAAGTCAGTGATCTTCCAATCGCATACTGTATAAACTATTTGGCACAGTCTAAACCATAGCAACAGAATCTAAAAATATATATTTAAAAATGTAGTCTTTTTTTTTTATATATGTGAAATTCCTCCAGAGGTGTTATTTGTAGTGACTTCCAGCAGATCTCTTAATATCCAGTTTCATTTTTGGCTGCACGTGCCCGAAGCCCTGTGTGTGACCGTGCCAGGGCCAACCGGTAGTAGAATAATGAGGACAGAGTGAGAGGTAACCTGTTGTGGCTCAGGTCACTGGTTCAACCCTGCGCTGGCACTGGGATCCATCGACCACTGGTCACTGGTTCAATTCTGCACTGGCACTGGGATCCATCGACCACTGGAAAGTGTGCCTGCCTGTGGAGTGACATTGAGTGTAGCTTCATTCAAATGGCCCCATTGTTTGGCTGTCTAGTAGAGCTGTAGGCACCAGGGTACCACTGTAAAGTGATACTCCAGTTTATCTGCTCCACCAATAGGGCTACATTTTATTTAATTTGTTTTACATATACCACTCCCCCGTTATAATTAATTTGCTTAGGTCTAGCCCATTCATTACAACTCTCATTATTTAAAATGACATGTAATACCTAGCTAATTATTAGGCTAGGCAGATTTGATTTTTGTTACATTTTAGTCATTTAGCAGACGCTCTTATCCAGAGCGACTAACAGTAAGTGAGTGCATACATTTTTCATACTGGCCCCCTGTGGAAATCGAACCCACAACCCTGGCGTTACAAGCGCCATGCTCTACCAACTGAGCTACAGGAGGCCCTTTTTTCTATGCTTTTACCACCTTATAATATGAATACAGCAAGTGAGATGCTGCCTAACCCTCAGTAGACCAGACTAACCCATGTTGTGTTTTGTGTTTACAGCAGGTTGGTGAACGGCCTGGACTCTGGCACACTGACAGCCATCACAGCACCCCCCGCTCCCTCCCCCCCTGGCCTACTGCCTCTCATCGTGTGACAGTGACAGACACCACGCCCTAATTTACCCCCCCCCCCCCCCCGCCGCCGCCGCCAATGGACAAGGCTATATCCTTAAACAGAAAGCATTGTGAGGACGTCAAACAAGTCCAAACAAGAGAAAGCACATAAAAATAGCTAGCACTATGAAACACTTTTCACATACTGTAATACTGGCCCCTCGTTGCAGTCACTGCATATTCACAGGCTGTCTCTATGTAATTCTGGCCCTTTAGTGCTTGTGCTCGGGTCCTACTGTACATATGGCTCACTGTTTGTAGCCTATATTTTATATGTACTTCCTAATTGTTTACTGCTTGTACATTTAGCTCACTCTACACAGACACCCAAAGAGAAGGTTTACCCAAAGAGAAGGTATCTATGTAGGATCCTATCCTCTCTGCAGTCATTTTCCAAATCTTTAGTTTAGACAGAAAAAACACACATTATGCAATTGAAAGTGTGACACAGTGAGGGTTTCCGATATACATGTTACTGTAATTGTATTGAACTGTTACAATTTATCAGAGATGGTGTAGCAAGTGAAAGAATATAGATTAGCCAGAGTCTAAAGAAGAAGTAAAATGTCTGGATTACTGTAACACATTAATCTAGCATCATTGCTTCAGACTATGCAGAGGCCCTCTCTCCTCCAACTCTCCACACCTTATTTGACATTTCTTATAAATGGAAACTAGGGTTAATGGATTGGCAGCTGGCACACGTGTGTAGATGTGTTTAATAGCCTGGAACGGTCCTTCACCACGTGGACCTGCTCCTAACAAGCTGACTTATTGTCCATCACTAAAGGTGGTTTAAATCTCCTGTGTCAACCTCATATGCCTTTCTGACCTTGAGTCTAACTTAGGTAGCCATCTGAAGAATTAATGTTAGTTTTGTGGTTTTTATTTATGAATGTGTTCAAATAAAAATGCATTGGTTTAGACCTGTTCAAAAGGGATGGTGAAGTAAAATCCTCATTGTGTCGTCATGTTGAGTATTCTGGGCTACTTAGGCTCAGCTCAGTTTAACGGTATGACAACGTGCACGGTATTGGTCATATTGATCATTATAGATGTCCACTTGAGTGGTGCTGTCATGGTGTGTTAGACCACTTTTGCCAGTATTCCATTTTGGGATTTTAACTGCAAATCTTTCATTTTCTGTGTTGAGTTTTCACTGGTATCTTATTGTATTTAAAATATCACACAACCCTGTGTTAGCAACCTATATTGTAAGTAAATAGCACTTCATCTTGTGCAAATATTTTCCTTGTATTTTCACATTATTTTATCAGTTTTATTCAAGTGCAATATTGCCTGTTGGTATGTTTTGTTTTAATATACATAGTTTTGTTAATTTATTTCAGATTCATTTTATGGCATGATGTGTTCAAATATATAGGATGTGATTATACATCAATTAGTCAAATATCATGATGTAGGATCCGTTGTCTTAAAATGTTGAGAAAATAAATAAATATAAAGCCAATCTTCTTATTTTGTTTTTAAAACTTAAGGTAGTCCACAATGCAAATTAAGCAATTCAACCCTAGCTTCATACCATGAGCTAATACAGATTGCATATTGGCGTTTTCCTTTGATCTAGTTTTGAGGGCAGCAATGAATGGGATTGGTAAAATTTAGGCGAGTCATCCTAATTAATTAAGGTTTCAATAGTGGTTCGGTTAAATTTAGGCAAAAATTGTGAAATGCAACAGCTGGATTCGAACCAGAGAATTTAGGCATTGCAACCTATGTTACGCTCTCTCCATAGGCCTGCACCCAGTAGGCTAAAATGTTGGATTTAAATAGAGGGTGTTCATTAGAGTCGTGGCTAGAAGGGATCAAGCTTTTGTCAGATTTGTTTCGTAGCAAGTTAGGAGGAAGTTAGCAGGATTTACACATCAGGTTAGGATAATTAACGTTGCCGATTAGGATAATTAGTTTGAGGTTAGGAAAAGGGTTATGGTTAGCTAAAATGCAAAACAATTACAAAAGCTGGATCCCTTCTAGCCATGACCAGGTAATCTACTAACGTTAGCATATGCTGATTCATGGACCGTCTATATCCAGGTTGCATCTGGTTTATATGTTTATAAGGACCACGTGACATCCCGGAAACTTTGAGAAAAAACACTTTATATCGGGAGTTGTGCCTGTCATTCACACACGTATCTGCTCTCTTATTGGCTAGAATGGTCCCACCTGATCTCGCCTCTTCCCAGCTGCTTTCCATTTTTTAAGACGTTTATTTTCATAGTTAGAGCGGTCCAAGGGGCCATGGTTCCAGTCTAGAGGCCCAGTTTCGACTGCTCCTACAGTTTTGCTTCGGTAGTTAGATGTCACGTGTCCTACTTATATCACACTCGTAACAACCTAAGCATTACGAAACTTCTATTAGATCAAACAAGCAAATAAGCCATTCAATTTTTTGTTGACCAAATTCGACACAATTCAATTCAATGGGCTTTATTGGCATGGGAAACACATGTTTACATTGCCAAAGCAAGTGAAATAGATAAACAAAAATGAAATAAACAATAAAAAATAAACAGTAAACACTCACAAAAGTTCCAAAGGAATAGAGACATTTCAAATGTCATATACAGCTATTTACAGTGTTGTAACAATGTGCAAATAGTTAAACTACAAAAGGGAAAATAAATAAACATAAATATGGATTGTATTTACAATGGTGTTTGTTCTTCACTGGTTGCCCTTTTCTTATGGCAACAGGTCCCAAATCTTGCTGCTGTGATGCCAAAGGAACTGCATGATATTAAGAAATGCTATAGATGGAAGGAAAGTAGTGTAGAAACCTACCAAAAAAACATTAGGCATTAACAAATTCAATCCCTTTTAGAAAACTTCCTAAATGCAGAAAATCAGTCATCATTGGGAAGCATTTTTGATTCTGAGGTCGGACATATAACGTTTGTATGTGAAAACTACTTCTAAGATGCATACATTCACTCGCGCTAGAGGGAGGCTGGCTCTGCACATGCGCAGATCAAATACACCGCTGGAACGCTGATTAAGGTGTTTACATGTCCTAATAATTCAAAAGATTGCTCAGAAAATCAGGTGTTTTAATCAGCGTATGTTTACTTCGATTTTGACCTTAAGCAGATTAATATAAACAGAGTAAGGTGTTTACATGACTATTACATAATCTGCCTACTTCCATCAGTTTAATATCAAATTATTACTGCGCATGTAAACGTACTCAATGTCTTTAAGAAGTTGAACATGTTATTACTCCAACCTTGTGAAAGTGACAAACTGACATTTTCATTTTGGTCAAAAACAACTTTATATTGAAGGAGTGCCTTTAATTTGACAGCCTGCACATGTGTAGCTCGGCGCGAGACGACCGTTAGACCCGATCACCTAGAAGCGTGATCTGGGATTTCTATTGGAGAAGTAGTTTCTGCCTATCTTCATACTGTACTTTCTTTGATTTTATATTCATCCAACATCTGACATGTTTTTTGGATGACTTGATGATGCCGTTTTGCTGCTCCCTGTGCGCACTGAAAGTGTTTCTGGGCCGGGCGTCAGTTAAACTGCAGTACCGAAGCAAAACTGTAGGAGCAGTCGAAACTGGCCTCTACACTGGAACCATGGCCCCTTGGACCGCTCTCATCTATGAAAATATACATCTTAAAAAATGGAAGGCAGCTGGGAAGAGGTGAGATCAGGTGGGACCATTCTAGCCAATAAGAGACCAGATACGTGTGTGAATGACAGGCACAACTCCCGATATAAAGTGGTTTTTCTCAAAGTTTCCGGGATGTCACGTGTCCTACTTATATCACACTCGTAACAACCTAATCATTACGAAACTTCTATTAGATCAAACAAGCAAATAAGCCATTACATTTTTTGTTGACCAAATTCGACACAATTCAATTCAATGGGCTTTATTGGCATGGGAAACACATGTTTACATTGCCAAAGCAAGTGAAATAGATAAACAAAAGTGAAATAAACAATCAAAAATAAACAGTAAACACTCACAAAAGTTCCAAAGGAATAGAGACATTTCAAATGTCATATACAGCTATTTACAGTGTTGTAACAATGTGCAAATAGTTAAACTACAAAAGGGAAAATAAATAAACATAAATATGGATTGTATTTACAATGGTGTTTGTTCTTCACTGGTTGCCCTTTTCTTATGGCAACAGGTCCCAAATCTTGCTGCTGTGATGCCAAAGGAACTGCATGATATTAAGAAATGCTATAGGTGGAAGGAAAGTAGTGTAGAAACCTACCAAAAAAACATTAGGCATTAACAAATTCAATCCCTTTTAGAAAACTTCCTGGACAAAACGTTTTACTGTAATAGTGAAGGTGTAAACCTGGCAGTAGAAAACCTCAAAAGTATATTTGACCTCTCAGCTTCCCTATCAAATCAAAAAATTGATTGAGTATTGCTCTGTTCAAGTAGACTGTGATTTTGCTGTGATCTGATAGGGGTGTCAGTGGGCTGACTGAACGTTCTGAGAGACTGGGTTGAGGTCAGTGATAAAGTAATCTGAGGTACTACTGCCTAGGGATGAGCTGTAGGTGTACGTACCGTAAGAGTCCCCTTGAAGCCTACCATTGACTATGTACAGACCGAGCATGCGACAGAGCTGCAGGAGTTGTGACACGTTTTTTTTGGTTGTTTTGTCATAGTTGTGTCTAGGGGGGCATATTTGGGAGGGATTGCTGTCACCTCCAGGTAGGCATTTGTCCCCCTGTGTGCTAAGTGTCAGGTTCTTGTCCAGTTCTGGCATTTAGGTCACCACAGACTAGTACATGTCCCTGGGGCAGGAAATGGTTGATCTCCCCCTATAGGATGGAGAAGCTGTCATCGTTAAAGTATGGGGATTCTATTGGGGGGGATATAGGTAGCACACAAGGACATTTTTCTCTGTTGAGATAATTTCCTTATTAATTTCTAGCCAGATGTAAAATGTTCCAGTTTTGACTAAATGAATAGAGTGAGTTAGGTCTGCTCAATACCAAATGCAAATAGTCTGGGTAGCCATGATTAGCTGTTCGGG